GACATATTGAGCTCGAGTCTGGTTGCGTGACTGCTCATTTTAGAGCAGAAGAAGAAAGAGGATGTCCAGGCTGAGTTGGAGTTGCTATTGAGGGAAATCAAAGACTTAAGTCCTCAAATGAGGAGAGCTGAAATCTCCTGTGATAAAGACAGCGGTTGAAGAATTTTTGCAGCACTCGATGATCTCTAGGTGTTGCTTAGAAGATTTATGGGATCTGTTTTGACTGTTTCTGCCATGTGAAGTACAGTTCTTCTGGTAATTTTGGATCCTGTTGATTCCTAGATGTTAGAGTATGAGATAAGTAGTAATGACTGCTTTGTCTCGTGTGTGCTAAAAATTCTTCTGTTTGTTTTTAGCTAAAATCTTTTAGTTTTATTCCTTTAGTGAAAAACTGAAATTTCACCCATTTAACAGATGAAAGTTACTGGTCCCTAACCAGATCGTAACAAAGTTGTGCGTGGTCTTCGGGATTATAGCAATACTTATTGCCGCCTCCTACTCAATGAATTACCAGTCCCTATCATGAAGTGATCTGCAAAACTTTGTGTTCTTTTACTGCTAATTTGTTGTACATTTGGAAGATGCCCCACTCATCCTGATTCAGCACATTTGTAGCTTCTCATTTTATGTTGTGGTTTAATTTTGTTTCAAATATCTTGCCACACAGGAGGTGTGTTCTTATGGTAACTGGTAGTCTAAAATCTTTGCAGTTTCGTTTATAGTTGAAATAGAGGGGAAGAACGTCTTCTGTGCCAATCCCTCCCTCACTGCATACTTCTAAAACTTGTACAGTATAAACTGTCTTTACGCCTCTTGTAAGCATATTAAAGTTAGAGCATGTGTTCAAAAGGACTACGGGGAGGTAAATACTGAGTGGAGTATCATGCCTGTACATTTAGTAGTGGCAATTATGCCATGGTGCTATGAAGCAATGTATTAAATGTCATATCCTGTTTGGCTGATTATAACTAACAATGTGTGAAATGGCACAAGCAAGCCAAGAGGATTAGAATTCAGAAGAAAAGAAAGAAATATTTCTTTTTTTAGTACTGAGCCATTTCTTCTGCTGAACATCTTAGGCATGGAGTTCTTAAAGTACATGCAAGTCTTATGTTTTTAGAGGAAACATACAATTATAATTTCTCTAGGACAACAGTCATGCCTTATGATAGGACCTGTTAAGACTCCAGTGCCAGTTTTTTGGTAGAAGGTATTGTCTATGGTAGTTAGTATCTGAAAGCGTTGACTAACATCATGAGAGAGGCTCAGCTCATTGAGATATAAAGGAGCTGGGAAGGAGCTAAGCAATTTAGCTTCTTGTTCTGTTTGTTACCAATGCTGTTGAACAATATTTCAATAGCAGTAATTTGTAATTGTAATTTGAGGCTGATGTCTACCAAGTGACCGCAATGTATCTCGGATGTAATGTAACTATCGTAATTGACCTGTTTACTAAGGCTGACTCTCCTGAAGCAATCTCCTGTCAAATACATTTTGTGGGCATCCTTCCCCACAAGATATCAGTAGTTTAGACTAACTCTAGCAAGGAGGATTTGTGGCGGCAAATATAGCTAAGACACTGCTAGTTCAGGTGGATGATCACGACAATGTAAGAGAAGGGACCTTCCTATCTTGTGGCTGATTTTGTAGCTGATTTTGTAGCTGAAAGCCTATATTTTTGACTCTTGATCTAATTGATGTTGACACCTGTTAATTTGTGAAGTTGATAGCCGATACTTTGGGGATCTCCACTCTCATGAGCATTGGTAAAAGGTGATGTTGCTGAATTTTGTAATTGTTTCCTACTATTGGTCCACAGTACGTTGAAATAATTGTGTTGAATCAAGACTATAATGAACATTCATGTAGAGATAGTCAGATTTCATCATTCTAATCTGTTTCCTGTCCTTGGGAGCTGGACTGGGTTAGAACAATCTTCATTTTCTTTTAAAGGAAGAAGGTACTGTGGTCCCAGCCCAGAAGTTTTGACTGGTGGAGAATTCTAGTTGGTGCTGTGCTGGGTAACACACATTTTATTGTATATCCTTTCTTAAATGTGGAGACCAAACTGGAAGCGCATGTGGTCTCACTATAACCCTGTAAACTTGTAACAATAGCTTATTCCTGTACTCCAATTCCCTTGCAATAAAGGGTAACTGCAATTTGCTTTCCTAATTGCTTGCTGCACCTGTATGCTAATGTGTTCCTTTAAGAGCGTACCCAGAACTTTGACTAAAGTGAGTAATTTCAAAATTGCTCACAGCATATTCCAAATGCAGAGCTCTTGTGCCACAGTGGTGTTGCCCTTCCTCTGGAGGTTCAAGTCTCACCTGCTTTGGAGTGTGTCATAAGCTGCCCAAACAGAGTTGATTTAAAAATAATCTAGGGACTCCTGTGGAACATTGGCCCAGAGATGGACATCACCAAAAGGCCCCTGTTAAAGTAACACCTGCTCTAGAGATGTTTGTTTAATAATATGGCCGAACAGAAGAAGTAAGTATCTTAATCAGTCTACCATCTTGATGCTGCAGACTTGACCTGTTTTATGTCTTTTAACACCATGACTTCCTCACAGCTAATCCACTTATCAAATGCCTTTTGGAAATCTCAGGTATGCTGTAACTACTAGTTTTGCCTTTTATTTACCGTAATAGTTACATCCCCAAAATCCCTCCATAAATGTGTCAAACAGCAATTTCCTTTTATAAAACCAGTTGACTTGTTATAGCTGTGCTATAATTTTCTAAGTGCATTATTAAGGTTGCCTTCGAGTAGATTTCAGCATTTCTCCCAACAACTGCAGTTAAGATAATTGGCCTATAGCTCATTATTTATTTTCTTTTGCTCCTTTCTTGAAAAGTGACATTGTAGTTTCTGACTTCCATTCTAACACTGTTCCAGTATCCAAGCGATTTTGGAATTTCTAGCCCATTCATTACTTCTGCAGCTATCTCTTCTAGAATTCTAAGAGTGTCAACCCTCATTTCTCAAATTGGTCAGATTATAATCAGTTGGGTTTCTCCAATAGTTTTTCTTTGACACTAATTTCCTCAAAGTTTTTAACCCCCCACCTGATGATTGCACTGTTATTCTTGTAGGCAACTTGTGTCTTCTGCTACGAAGGTAGACAGACACAAGAATATTTACTCAATGTCTGTCTCATGTCTTGTTAACCCATAATAATTTCTCCTGTTACTGCTTCTAAGCAGTCAATTTTTATTTTAGCTATTCTGTTTATTTTCACTACTGGAAAGTCCTCCAGTCAGATTATATTATCTGCCCTTGCTACTTGGTACTTCTTTCAACTCGTCTTCATCAGTAGGACCTCCTAATTCATCACTGTGTAGTGGAGTACTAGGTGGTGATCTGCAAGAGGTTTCCTTGTCCATGCTTGATGTCATGAAGTTTCATAGGTGCCAGAATTGATATTAAGGACATTTAGGAATGCACTGTCTTGACTAGATTGCTACCTCTGGTGGGTCTGCCTTGTTGGTGAGATAGGACAGACACACGGTGACAGAGAAGGATTGGCTATCTAGTACGATTCAGTGAATATGACTGACCATTGTTACTTGACTAACGTGTGGGTCAGCATTCTCAACTTTGGCACAAGTTCTTAATGAAGGTGATTTTGCAGGTATAATGACTTACAGTGCAACTTTTGTCATTCCTGACGCCTAGCTGGATTTTGGTGTTTCACCTGGTTTTATTCTTTGAATTTACTGTGGTAGTTTGATACAACTGAGTGAATTCTTGGTTCTTTCTTTTAATGTAGTCGGAGTCAACCATATAATTGTAGGCCTGGAGTCCTATGTCAACCAGATTGGTTAAGAATGACAGATTTTCTACCTTGGAAGACATTACTGAGCTGGATGGGTTTTTAGATATCGATATGGTTAGTTCCATTATTATCAATACTGATATCAGCTTTTCATTCTAGAATTTTACAGTTGATTGAATTTGAATTTAAATTGCCCCAGCTGCCTTAATAGAACTTGAACCAGTATCTCTGAAGCATTAGTCCATTCTTTGGGAACACCAATCCAGTAATATTGTAAGGAGTAATAGCATAGCAGTAAATAATAAACTAAGTGGATTTGTTATCCAGGAAAATATTGTCTTATGGATCCAAAGTTATCTATCTTGTCTGGAAATGTTGCCATTGCACTTTTTAACTTGCATTTACACGTTGGGTCTTGTGTTACATGAATCAAACTCACTTGAAGCCTAGCATATTTCCCAATTTGATTCCTCCTTATTGGTTTATTTTGCCTCAGTGAAAGTGGGAGGGCAAAACTTGGCAAAGGTCACAACTCAATCGTTGTTCATTGACTCTGAAGGATATCCATGCTGAGTAAAATGTTTGTGCCTCTGTTAACTCTTCCCAATCATTTGAAATCCTGCGACATTCCCTTTTGGCTCGTATGCAAGGAATAGCAAACTGTGGATAGCTGTTTGATGTTTGGCAGTTTTAGACAGTTCTTAGTTGAAGGATACAGGAGGGAAAAAGGAACCCATTCTCCTTGAACTGAAAGTTTTGGACTTCTGACAACATAATCTTAATCATTGTCATTAGCTCTGCTGGTGCATCTAGTGCAAAATAAGAACAATTTGTTTTTTAAACATTGATTATGGTAAGGTGCTTTAACATAAAAGAACCTCTGGGTGATTGTTCAATTGTTGGACCATACTACCATAGAAATTCTTTTTACCTTGATAGTTATCTTGACACCTGCCATGTGCTTTGTTTTCATTTTTGCATTTTACTGTCTACTAAATCTTTTATTTTTTACAGATTAGTCTGAAAACAATAATATTAGAAAAAAATTCTCTCATTCTTTGGAGCACGACGCTGGGGTATTTGGACCTTTGGAAAATTGTTTCCAGCTTTCAAATGTTTACTGAAAATTGAAATGGTCTTGAAAATTTGTATAATAATTTGTTTAAATTTTGTACATTTCAAAGGCATTCTTATTTGAACCTGTGGGTTTTTTTTCCAGCCCCTCCTGCAACCACCAACCTGTTTCAGCCACCTCGCAGGCCAGGTCTTGGCACTGTAGGAAAGCCTATACGTCTGCTAGCCAATCACTTCCAGGTTCAAATCCCGAAAATTGATGTTTACCATTATGAAGTGGACATTAAACCAGAGAAACGCCCCCGCAGAGTTAACAGGTGAGAGAAAGACAGACAGGTAGAAGTCCTTGTCCTTAGCTTCCAGTTAGTTAGTATAACAAGTATTTTTTTTTAAATTGAAAGATCTTTTTAACTTTTTTTTTGGTAACTGGAGTATTGAAGAGATTACTATTTGGAACTTAGTAAGGAAATATGATAGTTAACCCTTGTATGCATCGCTATTGACAGATTACAGGAATGTAGGCAGTACAATAAGCATATCTTGCACTTGACGGATGATTTGTTAGCAGGAATTTCTCTTCGCCGAAAACAACCTCAATAAGTGGACCCCTAACTGTGACTTTGACTTGCCATCAATTTCTCTTTAATTACAACTTTATGGGGAATAAAAAGTCATTTCCTTTTGTAAACCTACTTTGGTTGAAACAGGGCTTGTTTTTGTACAGAAGGAACGTCACCATGATTAATAGCCTTTGTATGTTGACCATTGCTGGGTTTTGGGGGACTGTGCAGGTAAAGTACCAAATTTTCATTGGCATATAGTCTTCACTGGGAGGCATGTAAGTCATCTTTTTTTGAGGCCAGTTTGCTTTTCAAAATACACATTTTTGTTTATGGAGACAAATCTAGACTGTCAAGAAATGGAGAAAGTAATATATATCTACAGTCTACCATTTAACAATATCCAGAATTTGATATATTTTTCTTAAAACTTTGAAACAAATCATTATTGCAAATTTTATTTTGCTTCTAGAGAAGTGGTTGATACCATGGTCCGACACTTCAAGATGCAAATTTTTGGAGATCGGCAACCGGGTTATGATGGGAAAAGGAATATGTACACTGCAAATCCGTTACCAATTGGCCGAGAGAGGGTGAGAATAAGATTGATATTCAAGACTGCTTTTGCAGCCTTTGAACTTGATTGAGGTATTTCAAAGATTTGTAGGGTTTTTAAATTTTATAAGTTCTAAAAGATCACTGTTGTGAAAGCAGGAACAAGGAAGGGGTGGTAATGGTGGGAGTAGTTCTTTTAGTTGAAGAAAGGCAAGAAAGAATCTCATTGTGGTGCTTTGGGAGAGAGGACCATATCAGCATTGACAAAGAGGGAGTGGAATGTTCGTTTTCATCATGACCTCCAGAGGGAGAGATGGGACCATTATCAATGTGAACTGTTGGCTGCATGAAAGTAAAGTTAATTGGCTGCCATTGAAGAAGAGTGCAAAAATAAAATGTGGGGTGAAGAGGAAAGTGTCATAGTATAAGCTGAAATTACAGATGGACGGGGGATAAGGTGAGCGCAGTTAGCTAGATGGCTAGTATGTAATTCAGAATAATGCCAACAGTGCTGGTTTGATACCCTTTCAAGCAGAGGTAGACTTGGGGACCTAACTCTGTGCTCTGTGGTTGAAAGTGGAGGATGATGGCAGACCACTGCTAATAGAAACTGTCCAGAAAATGGCTCGGTGTGAAACCTCAGCTAATGAGCAAAAGATCTGATTAAAAACCGAAAGACCTGCGGATGCTGTGAATCAGGAACAAAAACAAAGTTGCTGGAAAAGCTCTGCAGGTCTGGCAGCATCTGTGAAGGAAAAAACAGAGTTAACACTTCGGGTCCAGTGACCCTTCCTCGGAACTGTTCTGGAGGAGGGTCACTGGACCCGAAACGTTAACTCCGTGTTTTTTCCTTCACAGATGCTGCCAGACCAGCAAAAGACCTGCTTTGGGCAGAGTACATATGAATGAATGGGAGAAGAGAGAGGATTGGAAAGTTAGGTGAAGGAAACTGTCAAGTCTGTTAAGTTCAGAGAGATGTGGTGTCCCTTTGCAGTTGTGGAGAGCTAAATGTAGGAAGAGTTGAATGTTGAAGAAACTTCTTGTTGAATGATATTTGGCCTGACGAAAATTCAGGAGCCCCTCAACTTTCATATTTCACTCTTTTGAGATTTAAATTGAGAGAAATGTTTGCAAAATTCAAATTTCATCAATTCTGTGATTTGACATTTTGAAAACCCTCAACTTTCATTTACTTGTAGTACATGAGAAGTATTTTAACTGAACTACACAGACTAGTAGCTTCTGTTGTCTCTTTTGGGAGTTTTTGAGCTGATATTTTAATTTTGTACTTTCAGTTTCTGGTCACCAGATATGTATTATGTAATGACAAGCTGTTACTGTCAAGGTAAGTGAGTCTAATTTTGAATTTTGCTACAGGTTGACTTGGAAGTGACCCTTCCTGGGGAAGGCAAAGACCAAACCTTCAAGGTCTCCATACAATGGGTTTCGGTCGTCAGTCTACAGTTGCTGTTAGAAGCTTTAGCAGGACATCTTAGTGAAGTTCCTGAGGATTGTGTGCAAGCACTTGATGTTGTCACAAGACACCTCCCCTCAATGAGGTAGGTGCTGATGAACTTTTACTGATTTTCGGATTAAACCGGAGATGCTGCTTTTCTGGAAAATTGCAAAATGTGCTCTATTGGAAGATTGTGACTGCCCATAAATATGTTGTTTGTATCTTTTCAATAAAGTGTGTGGTATTTTGCATTTCTGGCAATTTTCAAATCAGCTTTGGCAGAAGAATGGAAGCGAAAAAGCTGCAAATAGTAGAACCTGCTGGAAATGCATAGCCAGACCGATTGATTGATTGCTTATTAAAATTAGAAGATGAATTAACAAAGTGTTCTGCTTTTTCATCAGAATTTAAAACTGAGAGGCAAATAGACAAGTTCAATGTATTAATGCCTAGCTAACACTTAGCTGACTAGCTGTTTTAAAATTTGTTTTATATATAATGCTGGAAGAGGTAGAAATATATGGGCCAAATTGCAGCCATCATTTTGGACAGTGAAGTGGTATTAGAAAGACAAAAGGAAGTGAAAACAGTTCTAGGTTAAAAGGCAAATCGGGGCCCATGTATTCAGAACATGTAAAATTTAAATACCAAGAGGATAGAAAAGTACCAATGAGTTCCTGTGGTAGTGCGTTTTGCCTAGAGGAAACTGGTTGATGGGCAAGAACAAGCTCTGAATGTTAGAGTAGTAGTAGATGGCAGCATGACTGGTAGAGCTGCTCGTGGAAAAGTCCCAATGATGCGGTTGTAGCTGTGGTGATTAGATGAGGCTGAAAAAGTGAAATCATCAAAGCAAGAAAGAGCGTCAAAGATAAGTCTTATAGATATTTTTAGCCATCTTACAGATATGATGACAAAAATCTGAAACAGATGTGACTTGAAACCAGGATTACTGGCTGAGCAGTAGGGACACTACTATTGTGTCACACGAACCCTTAAGATGAGGCTGATGCAGTGGTTATTGTACCAAATGTTCTCTGTCCAATCTATATCCTGGGGCTTATTGGCCTCCATTAGCTGAGATGAGTACCACAGCCATTTAAGCGCTTGACATTAATAATCTGTTCACGGGACTGCTTTCATTGCATTTGTTTGTTTGTGTCGACTTGCATTGCATTGTACACCAATGCACAAAATTGGCAGTTATTGGCATATTGGTTGACAGGCCTAAGGCTACCAGGTTTCTTTCAAATTTATCATGCCTTCATTGATTGTGCCAATTATTTTCTTTCCAAGTATGTAATATTTTCATTTAATCATATTAAATTTAATATATACTAAGAGGACATAATTTAAGAGCTAGGTAATTTCAGTGTGAAATTCACAATTGCTTTTCACATAATGTGGTGATGCTATGGCTTTAAAAGGTTACTTTGTCCCTATTTTTGGAAGGTTGCAAGGCAGAGGTGAAGGGCAATCTATCAAAACCACTAGAATAAACAGCTTGTGAGGCCATGGGTTTTTTAAAGAATTTGGACCAATTGAAGCAGCCTGGCTGGGTGTGGCCAGCTCGCACAGCCTAGGCTTTCTAGATGTGTTTTTAGTTTTTAAGTTTAGCTTTAAGCAATTGCTGTTGTGGGCTTGAAGAAGTAGAAGCTATCTTTTCCCCCTCTCGGTTACTGCTAGAAGCTGGGGTTTCTCTCTGCTGGGTGAGACAAGTCTATCTTTCTGAATCTGCCTTTTTTGCTAAGGAGTGTGTTTATGGGATGTTACTATATTGGAACAGTTGATTACTAATAGTCACCATATCTATTATTCTGTTCAGCTTTCCAATAGTTGTTATTCTGAATTCCTCCTCCTTTGATTGATTGATTGATTGTATTTTAACTATAGTGTTTAAATAAACTTGGGTTTTGCTTAACGTCAAGTAGTTTAACCAGTCGCATTGCATCTGAACACAGCACTTCAAATTTACCTTTGAAATAAGAAAGAGTTGGGGGTCTAGGCTACCTTCTTAAAATATTTTTGAGGTGGTTTGGTCTGATCCATAACAATAAACATTAGTGGAAATCTGGAACTTACTCTTCAAGAATCTGTGAATGCTTGTCCAATTAAAGTTTCAATATTTGAGATTGACAGATTTTTATTAGGTAATGGATGTGTTGTTGAGATCCAGATCCGTGATATTAATGAACAGGTTAGCAATGCTGGATGGTCTATCCAATTTTTGAACTTTGTCGTCTTGTAATTTGCCCTGTTGTAGCTTGTGTTGCATTTTCTAAATTCACGGTTCTTCCTAATTTCAATTTTATCCTGGCTGAGTATACAAACCTGGTAAATCTTTTGAAATTTATAATAGATATGACTTCTAGAAGAGGTTACTGTAGGCTGCAATGAAATATCTCCAAACAGCGAAGCTTTAGACTGAAATATTGTTAACTGAATATCTTGTGGTTTATCAGGCAGATTTAAAGATTAGTTTATTTTTATAAAAACGTTCTGGAATCTTTCATGTCTTCCCCACTCTCCCCTCAGGTATACTCCAGTGGGTCGATCCTTCTTCTCTCCTCCAGAGGGTTACTACCACCCATTAGGTGGAGGTAGAGAAGTCTGGTTTGGTTTTCATCAATCTGTCCGACCTGCCATGTGGAATATGATGCTAAACATTGATGGTGAGTTGAAAAAACTGTGCGCATATTTACTGCGTTGATCCAAAAACATGTTGGAATTTTTTTCCTAACTTGCTGGAGTACTTCTGCAATAATTAATATATAATCCAATGTGGTCCTCTTACAAGGTGATCCGAAGGGTCTTGTGGTGTTGTGATAATGTCCTTACCTCTGGGCCAGAGGTTTTAGATTTGAATCCTTGGGATGTAATGCCCATGAGGGTGTGTTATATTACGTTCCAAATAAGTTGATAAAAAAGTTATAAAGAGATCTAATATTCTTTCAATGGGCAATCAACTGCAACCCATCATTCCAATAGACGGTAATTCTAACAAGCTAATACAAAAGATGAGTGCACCAATGGCATTTTTAAAAAATTAAATCCAGCTGAGCTGATTTGTTTAATTACACGAAGCACGAGGAAATAAAAGAAAATTATTTTTCTGTTCAGTCAGCTGTGGGTAAATTGGTACTTGCAGTTCATTTCACCATGCACTTGTTCACAGACTTCCTACAGACTTTTCCATTGAAATTTGCTGTTTGCCTCTCTATTTGCTGCAATAATGTGTAATTGATCCTTGCCGTTTAGAATTGTTATGCCTTTGCAATGGGAGAAAATCAATACTGGATCAGTTCATTGCATAGAGTTTCACATTAGACAAAATATACTAATTTATTGAGGGTTCTAATTTCTTACAAGTACCATGTTTGTCAGTGAATCACAAGTTAGTGTTTTCAAGTTCCACTGCAGAACTTGCATACACATAACCAAGTTCAGATGAAGGAGAGCTGAACGATCAGATGTCTTTCAGATGAGATGTTAAATCGAGGCTTCATCTGTCTGTTTGTGTGCATGTAAAAGATCACGTGGGACTATTTGGAAGAAAAGCAAGCAAATTATCACTGGTGTCATCAACAATACTCATTTCTCTACCAGTTTTGCAAAGAATTGTCTGGTCATTATTACAATGCTGTTTGTGGGAGTTTGCTGTGTGCAAGTTTCAAATTAAGGTATTGTTTAATGGCAACCCAGTATATGACAGTGACTACTGAGCGAATGAATGAACAGGACTTGATGCAAATAAACATCAGAGATTTGGGTGGGCAAAGCATTAAGGTAGAATGTGGAAGGCTGGTGAGAAATGTATTAGTATAGTTCAATCTAAAGATAACAAAGACATTGCTGAGTGTTTCAATAATAGAAGATTTGAGATAAGATAGGTAACAGAAGTCAGAGTGGGGTGTGGTAATGATGACACAGACTCATAGTTGGGTGATTATCTCTGGTCAGACATGGCAAAAATGTTGCGAGCGGTCTCGTTCAGGTTACAGCTGCCAAAGAGGGGAATGGGGTCTGTGGCTAGACAGCATTGTTTGTAGCAAGGGACCAATGACACACATTGTGTAGCATTCTCTACATGGGATCCAGGATCTGAATAATACAAGTTTCTCATTTTAACAAATAAAATTGAATAATCCTTCAAGTAGCATGTTGTCTGAACTAAGTGTAAGTTTCAATAGTTAATTCAATGCCAAACATCATGAACAGTAAAATGGAGGGAAAGAAAGATGGGATTAAGTTGAAAGAAAGTCAGATGCATTTAATTTTAGTGTTTATAAAATCTGAAGGAATGAAATATCTCTTGAAAGATAATTTTCATTATCAGAAGCGGTTTATCAGTAGTTACTTGCCCATTCCCTGCAACCACGGTTTTTAATGATTGGCGAGGCATAACTTTTTCCGTTGGGTTTAATGGCATTGATTGTGTAACCATCATAGCTTCATGCCATTCCATGTGTTTCAATGCTGAGTACCAGCGAGGTTCCAGAACAGTGCAATTTCTGTTTAACTACGAATGTGCAGCTGCCGTAACTTACAGTCCTGTTTACTTTAATGATGAATGCTGATAGTCTTATCCTTATTTTTCTACCACAAAATCTGAGCCAATATTGTGTGGATGAATTGTGGATGCTTTGTATAAATCTTCATGGGACAAAGGTGTGGTTTATTTCGTGATAAACAGTGACAGCATTTCAAAATGTATGACTGTAAACTGCTTTGCAACATCCAGTGTTTTTGTGCAAAGCACAATGCAATTGCAAGTCCTTTTTACTCTGTGCAACTGAATATCCATAGTTTCTGTCTGAAAAGATTGTGGCAAAAGAAAGCAGAGTGCCTCAGTAAACCTTTTGATCCTAAAAGTTAACAGAGTTTGTGCCTTAATGTAACTTGTTTGAGGAACATCATGCAAGTTAATGAATATTTTGACACTTGGAGATATGCATGTATATTTTTAGACTGGGAGAACTCGAGTTGTTGAATAATTTTGCATACATTTCTTAGGTGGATTTTCTATCTTGTTTAAGGAGGGAAAGGGAAGTTTAGAGAAATTCCTAAACTATCTCTCACTCCGAACATTATCTCCACTCAGTCTGTTGATCATGAAGAGCTTTCAGGACTAGCACTGTACTCCTCCTATCAGAAGGACATCTAGTGGTTGCAAAGTACTCCTGAGAACTGGAGAATTGAGTTACTTATGGAAACCTGACTTGATTTTTATGTTTCAAGGAAACTGATTATCATCTTGTCTCTTCCAGTGTCTGCAACAGCATTTTACAGAGCTCAGCCAGTAATTGAGTTCATGTGTGAAGTACTAGACATTCAGAACATCAATGAGCAAACCAAACCACTGACTGACTCTCAGCGTGTAAAGTTTACCAAAGAAATAAGAGGTAATGTGCTTAGTCCAAAGGCATTATTTAAAACTTTTTAAGAAGCAATTTTGATGTCAGAGTTCTCTCCAGTAGAAAATATTCTGCAGTTAAAGGAGAAGTGATTTAATTTTTATTCAGGTCTTATTTTGAACTCAATTATTTTTATTTCCATTGTTTTTAGAAAGATAACAGTTTGTATTATCTCTTGAAACTTGTGTTCACTGTACATCAGGCCTCTTCTGTGCTGTTTACAGTTTCTGTATAAACATACCATTCTGTATAAACATAGAATAATGCCACTGTCATCGAAGTGGTTATGCCACGTACTTGAAATGCTACCTTTCAAAATATTCTCCTGCAGGGATCTGTACTACAATGGTTCTTATGAGTAACAACAGAAATATAGTTGGAATTTTAAGGCAGTTGTTTAGTTTAACTCCATTGTATGTTTAACAATTATGATGTTAGCCCTGTTGACCTGTTCTGTTTCTAGGTCTGAAAGTGGAGGTGACTCACTGTGGACAGATGAAAAGGAAGTACAGAGTATGTAATGTTACCCGACGGCCGGCCAGTCACCAGACGTAAGTGCACGGTCCTGTGTAATGTCCTGATACTTTTTTTTTATTTGCCTGGACTGGACTTTTTTCATTTGCCCAGAGCAAATTTGTACAGAGTGCAGTATTTGGAGAGCTAGGCATATTGGTTTCTATAAAAGAAGAATAAAATCTATTGGATAAAGACCTGGACTGCTTGATATTAGAATACATTTTACAGAATATTATATTTCCGATATACCGTTTAGAAGTATTTGTGGTGCAGGATTAACTTCTTTGTTTTAAGGTGATTGGTAGAAGAATTAGAAGAGACAAGAGAAAAATGTTTTTACCCCACAGGATGGTAGGTGTCTGCATTTTGGCTGAGGTGAAGACATTGAACTTGTTTAAAAGGAACTTGAATCTGCACTGTAACCCGCAAGGCTGAGGACCAGGTGCTGGAAAGTGGGACTGAAATGGGAAGCTAGTTTATTCAACTAGTTCATTCAACATCTAATGGGTTGAATGGTCTCTTTTCTGTGCTGTGATTTTTCTACGGTTCTATTGACAGGCAGACTGGAAAAGACAAGGAATATCCCTGATAATGAAGGACAATATCAAGACAATAGTGAGTCAGGATTTTGGCTTGGAAGATTAAATGGTAATTAGGAATAAAATGAGACACAAAATGCTCGTAGCAATATGCTTTTTAGGTCCCCTAAAAATAAGTTGTTGAACTGTGCATTAGATAAAGAACAAGTGAAGCTTGTAACGAAGGCAAAGTAATACTTGTAAGAAATCTCAATCCAGTCTGTACAAAGATTAATCAAATTGGCACATGTATTCAGGAAGATGAGTTTGAGAGTGCTGTTGTGACAATTTCCTGGGCTAAACATTGTGGAAATGACTAGTTTTAAAGTTATTTTATATCTAGTTTTATGCAGTGCATCCGGGCTAGTTAATAATCTTGTAGTAAAAGATCTGCTGTGTATAAGTGATCATTATAGATTTGAATTCTGTACTAAGTGTGAAAATAACATAGTACAGTCCCAAGCAAAAATCTTAAGTTTAAGCGAAGGTTATTACGTAGGTTTGAGAGGGAGAGGAGATAAAGGTTGATTAAGTAAATAGACTAAAAGATTTGGTGATTAAATGTTTCCCATCGTTTGTCTTAAGAAATAATTCAATACTGAACAAAATACATTCCATTTTAATAACAAAAACAACAAAAATTAGCAAGAAAGATCCAAGTGCAGCTAATTGAGGATAGCGATAGATTAAAAGAAGAGACTTGTAATGTTGCAACAAATATTAGAAAGCGTGAGAATTGGAGTGTTTTGGAAACCTGCACAGGGGAAACAAAGTTGATTATAAAAGGAAAATTTACAATGAAAGTAAACTGGCCAGGAATATAAAGCAGATTGCAAGAACTTGAAGCCATCATAATAAACACTGGTTCTTTAGAGATGGACAGACGAAACTGTTATGGCAAACAAGGATATTGAGCACATGCTTTGTCTGTTTTCAAAGTAGAAGACACAAATTACATACCAGAAATGGAGGGTAACGAAGGGGCAGATAAGAAGTGAGGAAATATACTGCATAAACCTAAGGGACTAAAATCCAACTAATCCTAAGGATTTTTTATTTAGTCGTGAGACGTGGGTCTCATTGACTGGTTAAACGTTTATTACCTATCCTAGTTGCCTTTGAGAAGGTGTTGGTGATCTGCTGTCATCAACCGCTGCAGTCTGTTTGGTGTAGGTATGGGGATGCACTAGTTATGATTTCCCTAAATTCCAAAATGGTCCCAGAAGATTGGAAGTTAGCAAATGTGACCCCTCCATTCAAGGGAAAAAAGAAAGTGGTGGGAAAAAAGGGAACTACAGATTGTAGAATGAATTCGGATAGTTTAGTACTGCACTTAGAAAATCATAACATGATCAGACAAAGTCCAACATGCTTTTATAAAGGGGAGATGGTTTTTAACATTTTTTTCTTAAAGGATGTAGCTTGCAGGGTGTATAAAAAGATAAAATGTCAAACAAAAGTTCAATACACGTGACAAGGACTCCTTGAATTGGAGTAGTATCTTTGCATGGAATAGTGGATTTGCTAATGGACAGGAAACAGAAGGGATAAGAAGCACATTTCTAAGCTGATGGGCTGGGGCTAGTGAAATGCCACAAAGGGACTGAAAGTACTATATCTTCATTTGCTGGTGAAGCACCTCCAGGGAGGGATGTAAAATTTAAGAAGCAGTGGCTGTGAAGGGATATTCTGGTTGAGTGAGTGGGCAACAAGGTAGGAAATGATGGAAAGTGAGGTTATTCACTCAAGTAGTAAGAAGAGTAAAGCAGAATGTTTTGTTTATAAAAATCTGGGACATGTAAATTTTGATGTTCAGAAGAATTAGAATGGACTTGTACAAGTGAGAAGATAAGTAGTTAGAATTGCAGGTGGTATGTTGGCCTTTATTGCAAGGGGATTGGAATACAAGAATAAGTGAGCCTTACCACAGTTGTATAGCACTTTGGTGAGACCACATCTGGAATATTGTATTGATTTGGTCTCCATTGTTAAACAATGAAGTATTTGAATTTGAAATATTACAATGGAGGCTCATTAGACTGGTTCATGAGATGAGAGGATTGTACCAAGCTGAGATGCTAAGTAAATTGGGTTAATACACTTCAAAGTTCAGAAGATGAGAAGTGATCTCATTGAAACATACACAAGAATCAGTCTCTGCAAGAATGTCAAGCCAAGAGGCTGTAGGAGGAGGAGGGTGGCAAGTGGGGAAGGAAGGTTGAACATGAATACCATGTGGGTGGTAGGGTGCCTCCAGTGGCACAGGATCCCTCTAATGAAGGGACATGAAAGGGTGGAACCTTGAGAGGTTGTTCTTGGGACTGAAAGGATTAAAATGTTTTGGGAGAAAGCAGGAACAGGGTACTGAATTGGTTGATCAGCCACAGAGGAGCAAGTTTGAAGGGCCAATTGGCCTGATCCTGCTTGTATTTTCTCTTTTTTTTTTTTCTATCTTCCCATGTTTCCCCTGCCTGGGGAATAGCAAGTGTTTGGCCTGTAAGGAAATAAAGTGTAATGAGGAGCAACAGGAAACAGAGTTGAAGTAGATGATCGTATTGAAGAGTGGAGTCCCTGAAGTGATATTGCAAAGTTATGGAAGCCAATTTTGTTTCCAGATGATTTGAAGGGGTAGAAAAGCATGGGGCACTGTTGTTGTTGCTGACCCAACTAAAATATTGGTTGGGAGCCTGCCCTCACTTGCTACTGTCTGGCTGTTAATGTGATAGTGGCAGGATTTCTGTTTTCCTGTGAGTTCTTCATCACAAAGCTGTTAGTCATTCATATGGCTAGCAACTCCTCTAGTCCTCTAGGGAACGTAGGGAGAGAGCAGTGACATCATCTGGCACTACAGCAGTACCCACTGAGGAATACCATTGGAGCTATATATCAAGATGAGTATCAGGGTCAGGCATTGGCAGATCACTGAGGGGGCATGGCAAAGGTGGTGGATTGATCTTGTCATGGGGGAGGGGGAAATGTATGGTGTGATTTGATCTTGTCAGGGATGGGTGCCTCCAATGCTCAGAGGAGACCTAAGATGGAGGTCCTATTTCCCAATTACCCCAATAGCTGTCATCCGTCTATCCTGGGTAAAATTAGAGAGGGGGATGCATGAGGCTATTACGTGCCCATTCATTGGCCCTTGCTAAGCCCAGAGGTGCACTGGTTGCTTCAATACCTCCACTGCTCCTCCAGGTTAGACCATGGTGTTAAATTGAGATCCCTACTTTCATAGTCATTGGAGAAACATAACTATTACAAGTCCCACAGACTGGATGTTATGGAACAGCATGGTTGTGAGTTTGTTCTTAAAGATTTATCTGTTAAGTCTTGAACCCAATTAATTTAAATATCTAACTGTTGAAGAAATTGGAGAAAATGAGGTCTTCTCATCTTTTTTAATTATGCATCTATCTTGCATCCTTGTAGGAGCACTCTACTATTGTGTGCAACATGTATTATCCATAACAGGCCCAAGACTAAGTCTTGGAACCAATATTTACACCATCTAGTTACTATTGTACCTTTAAACAGTTTTTAAAAAAATGTTAGTTTGCTATTTAGTCCCAGTAATAGGAGAATTTGCTCAAATGTCATCTGAAAAGGAAAGGGTGAAGCTGCTGTATCCCACCTGATTTTAGGGCTGCTTTCTCAATAGAGAGAAATGACACGGTAGTTTAACCTGAAGGTCACCACACCTCAGGAGAGGGGTGAGGTTACGAAGGAGAGTCCTTCATGGTTACCTCCGCCAGAGTGGGAATTGAGTTCACACTGGCATGATTCTGCAAACTCATTATATTAATTTCTTACTGCTTGGAGTTAAATTTTTCTGTTCCAAATGCATTAATAGATCAACTTTTTAAATCTATTACTTATTTCTCAATTTTGTGATCTTTGGCGATTAGAAATGGCATCCAATGTAATACACTAATACTTTTTCAGCTACACTTGTTACAGCTAATTGAATATAGTTTCTAGATGTGTGCTTCCCCTTTTTCATATTGGAATCCTTAGGTGAATTTCCTTCAATATTAAAAATAACTAGCTTTGTCTATCTACACGTCTGTTTCCTTGAATTTTAAGACAACTTCCAGTCCAAAGTGCCTGTAGATATTGTTCTCTTGTAACACATTTTTTACTGATGTCTGCTTACTTCTATGGTTTTGAAACCATCTTCTTTGTTATATGCAATCTTTGTTTGTATTGTCTGCCTTTGCATTATTCAGCCTGTCGGCATTCCACTCATACCATTTGTACGATCTTTTAATCTGTCTGCCTATTGATCTCTCTCTGCCTATAAATTCTGTGCCTCTATGCTTTTCTTCACTTCACCTGACAAAGGGGCACTGCTTCCAAAGGTTGTGATTTCAAATAAACCAGTTGGGCTGTAACCTGGTGTCATGTGACTTCTGAACTTAACCTTTGAATAGCACTGAAGTAACTCCTGGTTGTCAATTATCTGCCTTGCCAGGTTTCCTCTGCAACTGGAAAATGGGCAAGCAATGGAATGTACAGTGGCACAATATTTCAAACAAAAATATAATTTGCAGCTTAAGTATCCTCACCTACCTTGTCTACAGGTAGGACAAGAGCAGAAGCACACCTACCTGCCACTTGAGGTAAGATTTGAAATGTAGGGCCTTTTGCACTGAAGTGAAAAATTGTAAAGTGGTTGAATTGTTGGGATCATCAGCATGTCCATATGTTTCCTGTGCATTATTAAAAATGTTTGTTTAATTCTACCTTTGTACAACATTGTTTTTGATTAGTGTCATTACTTGATGCAAGTAAGCAAAGGTTTTCTGGTTTATGTTGCGAAAATTTCTCCTTTTTTTTTCCCTTATCCGAAGTGGTAGACTTTCTTACCAATATAAATTTCTGTAAGTAGTGACCCTACAGTACTTCAAGTGGTCATTGTTCATGTAGTCTATAGCAGCAAATGCCAGCAGGTTATCCACTATCGAGGATGTTGCAGATGAGTTAGAGCCTGCTCTCAGGTGGTGTTCCCATGTGCAGCTTAAGAAGCATAAGAATCTCATGAACTATTTCTTCCCCTGTTCAGGGATGCTGTAGCCTTCTGTTGCATTCCTAATGCTGACCTGGCTGGCATTCGTTAACAATACAGATTTAGGTTTGAACTTTGGGAAAGACCTGGCTTATACAATGCGAGTGGTATTTTTACCTCTCAACTATGAAATTCAATGCCTAAGATGGCACAATTTTTTTTTTTTTTAAATTTGGAAATATTGTGAACTTCAGAAGAATAATGACAAACTTCCAAGAGAACATGGAAAAGTTGATAGAACGGTTGGGCATGTGGCAAATGATATTTAATACAGGAGCATGGAGTGATTTGTTTTCATGAAAAATGAGAGGCAATACAATCTAAAGGGTACAGTCCTAAAAATGGTGCAGATATATTGCACAAATCGTACAGGGTGGGTTGAGAAAGTGGTTAAAAAGGAATTCAGGACCCTGGGCTTTATGAATAGAAGTAGAGAATACAAAACCAAGCAAGTTATGACGAAGCATTGTAAAACACTGGCCTTGACTGGAGTATTGTCAATTCCACTTGAGGAAGGATTTTAAGGCTTTGGAGAGCATGCAGAAAAGTTTTATGGGAATAGTTCAAGTCGTATAGATGATTGGAGAAGCTAGCGAGAGAAGCGAATGTTAAGAGATTTGATAGAGGAGCTCAAATAATGAGAGATCTAGACAGTAAATAAAGCGAAATGTTCCCTTTACAGAAGTGATTGTATTCTGTAGTTTACAGGTTTAGGACCAAAGGTGACATGAGAAACTTTGTTTTTAAGTATTTTCAGTTGACTGTAAAAAGGGTGCTGACACCTGCAATTAAAGAGTTGAGGGGTAAGGACAGGGGACATAGAACAGGCTAGATTGGTCTTACAGAAGGCAGATGCAAAATAGATAGGCCAAATCATTGCTCTGTCCTGTAACCATTGTCGGATTCTAAGCAGTTTCTTTTATAAACTGCTTGTAGCCAATTTTTGCTCTAGAGGTCTTTTTGTTCATTTCCTAGTTAAAATTGCCCTCCAAATTTAAAAAATAATTAGCACAGTGGTGGTGACAAATGTATTTGAAACACTTTTTTCCTTGTTCTTTTATGCTCCTGAATTTACATACACTCAAATGGTATTTAATGTGATGGAAGTAGAGATAAACATCTAGTCGAGTGGTCTGCATAATTTAAACCACGTGTAATTGCCAAATATCTTTTATTCTCCCTGCTGTCATACTTCTTACATGGTATTGTACATAATGGCAGTTTAATTGAGGAAACATCCATTAATACAGTACATATTGTATACTGCTTTTTCAAGGCTTGCTTAAAATCAACTTGATGAATCCATTGTTTCTAAATTGTTTCTAAATTTCCGTTTGTAGGTATGTAACGTTGTAGCAGGGCAGCGCTGTATCAAGAAACTAACAGACAATCAAACGTCAACAATGATCAAAGCAACAGCACGATCAGCGCCCGACCGACAAGAGGAGATTAGTCGTCTGGTGAGTGAGTTTGAATTTTCATTTTTAAAAAAAAAAAAAGGTGCAAATTCACCTAGAGCTAAACAAACCAGTAAATCATTATTGGAAATAAAAACTTATCACTTGTGTTCCAAAATGTGTAATTGGAGCAGGCACCTTTTTTATCTGATTTGAATTTGAAGAAATTTGTTCAACACTGAAGAATGAAGTCTAGTGAGAGACAAATTGAAGACAGAGTAATTGGGAAAACGGGATGAAGTTATTGCTGGATACAGGGTGGGAGGAGGTGTAGTCTAGGTAGCTATGGGAGTCTGTGGGTTTATAGTAAATGTCGGTCCGTAACTGCCGCCAGAAATGGAAACGGAGAGGTCAAGAAAGGGGAGGGAGGGGACAGAGTGAATTTGAGGGTGGGGTGGAAGTTGTTAGTGAAGTCGATGAACTGCTGCTGTTCAGCCTGGGTGCAGGTTGCAGCACCGATGCAATCATCGATGTAATGGCGGAAGAGTTGGGGAACAGTACCGATGTACGTACTGAAGAGGGATTGTTTGACATAATCGACAAACAGGCAAGTGTAAGCTGGGGCCCATGCGAATGTCCGTGGCAAACCCCTGGATTTGGAGAGAGTGGGAATAATTGAAAGAAAATTTATTGAGGGTGAGGACTAGTTCGGCAAGGTGGAGGAGGGTATTGGTGGGGGAGCCTGGCTGGGTCTGTTGGAGAAGAAAAAACTGAGGGCCTATAGGCCATCCT